TTTGAACCTGTCTTATTTCTTTTATTTTTTGGTAAATTTTAAGTTTTCATATTTTATGATGCATTAATATTAAGGTATTTTTGGAAATCTTAATTCTTTTCCCTTCTAAAATGCAATCTGAAAATATATACATTTTATAAAGCATTTCAACTCTTCATATTTTCCCCTTTAAATTGTGATTTTGTATTGCATGATTTGTTGTATAAGTTAGAAAATACAGTATTTTTAAGTAATATTGACAGAATACATTATACTAGAAGTTAATTAATCTCATTTTCAGAATTAATTGCATTTACAAGCCTAAATGTTTAAGGAAGAAGTCAAAGTTTTAAAATAAAAATGAAGCCTGACATATAAATGGTTTTAATCTATGTGCAGTTCATCTTTCAATATAGCTTACCAAGTCTTATTAAAAATAAATAGGATATTTTCTATAAATTCTTTGTTAAAAACAATCTCTACTCAAATGTAATAAAACTGATCAAACTTCAGTTTCACTGAACTGAAATTCATCTGTCTTATTTTGTCCCGGAGAATATGTTAGATAGTCCCACAAATAATCAAGGGAGTAGAGAGCAGGGAGGCCAGAGGTGGAAAGAGAACATCCACCAATGGACAATCACTGGACCTATGGGAGAAAAGTGAAATCTTAAAGATAACTGTCATCATGATAATTCACTTTAAAATCTATGGAAATTTTTTGTGATATGTAAATTTGGGTTGGCTTTATAAGAGAAACTGTTATTGTGGATGTTCATTTTAAAAATCAGAGGTACAAAAAGTCATGGGTGTTTTCAATGCTATTCTATTCTTTATCTAGCACAGTGGTTTTCAATTCCATTTTCCCCCACCTTACACACCTCAGTATATAATAAATGCATTTATTAGTAAGAGTAGTTCACTATGACTGTGATTCTCAAATCTGGAAAGTAGGTGATCAAGAGGATTTTAGCAGTCCTGAAGAAGATTATTTACTTTGAAAAAAAAATGGAGAGGCTTAAATGTCTACTCATTAAAAAGAGAGTAACAAGTTGGATGAATGCCCACAGGAAGGAGGTAACTTCCTGTTCAAATATGAAAATTGTTAGTACTCATAAGATTATTTTATAAATTTTCCTATATACAGATGATTATTAGCTAGCTTGGTAAATAATAGCAGAAGCTCTCTCATTGTGAATAGTCTACAAAATATTGATATAAGAAGTTGAAAAGACTAAAACATGCTTACCCTTAGTATTCATACATTCTTCAGGATATGAAACAAGAATTCATTTTAGAACAAGTTATATAGATGTTCCATTACATTTTAATKCTTTACAGACATAGGTAAATTATGTTCTTCATTTAAACAAGTTAATAAAGTTTACCCAGAGTAGCCAAAAATACATTCAACCATACTTTATTCTCTTTTGTTAAAAAACATTCTGTGCCACGAGTGAACACACSAAGCCCTCACATCACTTGTCTTCCATAAAACATTATTGTCTTTTGGCGTCCTCTTGCACTAAGGGAAATAAAAAAGTCACATGTGGAGAAGTTCTAAACTCTAGACAGAAATGATCCTTGGAGGGCAATTTTTATCCTCCACGGAAGTGTYGCAGACTTCTTCCATTAGCATAGTCCCAGGGAGCAAAAGGTCAGGGAACTGGGACTCCCAACCATACCTGAACACATAAGTCAACAATGGTGCACTCACAGGTGCATTAAAATATTGAGAGAGAGAAACAACAATTGCACTATTTTACCTTGGAATACCCTGTACAGATGGTGACATTTTGTTTGTGGTTGTAGGAAAGAAAGGTAGGCAGTTCCCCGATTTCCCCCTCAACACCTACCATTTGGCATAGGATATGGGAGGCTGGCGAAAACGGAGGGTGCTTTGCCTCAGTTGAAACAGCTGGGAAACAGATGGWGGCTGATGTGAAATTTGCCAAAAGCTTTGTCTAAACTTAGCACCCATTTTCCACCAATGAATAGCTTGTCGGGTGATAACAGTAGAGGTCTTGGAATCAGCAAATGATAAACTTTGGAAACTTAAAACAAAATAGGTTAAATGGTTTAAGGTCCCAAGATTAAGGGATATACAAGTCCAGAAATGCATTTCCAAATAAAGGCATGTTTCCAATAAAAGTGGGAGCATTCTGGGTGAAAACTGCAATAAAATCGTACACCAGGATAAAAGTGTCCACTGGATTCATCAACACTGGTGCTACCTCATCTATGTTGACATCCCTCTTAGGTGATACTGTCAGGAARCACACACCCACTCCTTGTCGTATTAATTGCAATTTAATGACTCCTGTGATTATTGTCAATGTAAGTGTGCAAAGCTCACTTCATTTTAGTCATTGGATTTCACTTCATGAGCAATTTTGGTTCGAACTCCAGGCATTCAGTAAATTGTTTTTGGATTTAAGTGTTGAGGTACAGCCAGATTTTTGTTTAAATCCAGTCACTGAATACATAAACCTCCTGTTGTATATTTCTARCTATAATGAATGCATATTTAGATCTTTTACATGGACTGTCCTTCCAAGCACTGGTCCATGTTTGGTGTGTTTGTTTGTGTGTACGTGTGGTATTTATGAAGTACTTTTGAATATTGCAAAAGTTGGAGGAGATCAGTTTCAAAGAAACAAAAATAAATTCAAGTTAATAGGCTTTTCTCAATGTGAATTTGTTCATTCATGCTTATATAAGGGAATGTGCTAACCATGAATCATTCAAGTTGAATTGCTCRTGAGAAAAAATATGCTGGCTTTGCCTTCAGTTTCCAGAGCTGCTTAACTAAAGGGGAAAAGAGCATTGTCTCCACATAAAGAATAATCAGCCACAGTTTTCAGGCAGAGTGGCTCCAAATTGGCAAAAGTTCTTTTTGCTCATGTGAGAACATGGATTCTTGTGAGAAGGGCTTGTTATCAGAATATTCTATGCTGTGACTGAATTTCTAGTCTGCCAGAACAGCCCATGGGAAAATAATTTTATTTTTCAATCAATCATTTGGAAGATTTATCCACACAACCCCAATATAGCTAAATGCTCCAACAGAGTGGATGCTGGCAAATATGTAGCTCAAAAAAAGTATGTGGTGGTCTATAGTTCCACTCAGAAGCAGGTAGGTTTGCATTTGTAAGCAGATCTACCTAAGAGCTCACACTTCAGGTATTATGTGACTCACCAGGTCCCAGGGGATTCTTATAAAATGAAATCAACCTCTGTGTGACATATCACAAAATACTTTTTTCACTAGAATAAAGCCCCACCTGCTTGCCAAGGTGGGGAGCCAGTCAACACAGAGGTAAGTGACAAGCCCAGAAATGTGGTCAGCGAATGATGAAGAATTTTAGACAGTGCCAGTGCACCAGTCAGTGAAACACACTGTGATCGGGCAGAAGAAAAGGAGTGCCCAGTGTGCCAAGATGTTGATGCAAACGACTGGGGCTGCTGCAGGGCCTCGACAACTGTACATCTGGTCAGCTCAGACTCTGCTAAGAGTCAAAACAGAAGTGTTTACATTAAAGTGCCTTGTCTAGCACGTTTCCATTATGCAGGGCCCTCTTCAGTTTAGACTTCCTCCAAGCAGACAGAAAGGAAAAGAAGACTGAAAAAAAAAATTGTTTTTGTACTTCTTGGCATAATTAAGCATCACTGGATGAAAAAAAAATGTAGTTTAAAAGATAATGTATAAACCATACCACATTATATTTGTCAATTAAAAATAATCAAAATGTCACTCTGTAACCTTTAGTTAAACATTTTTTTCCTAAATCACTTCTCTTGTTTGGGCTCATAGAAGAGCTATTTGTACTCCCACCTGAGAAACGTTTTGCAGCTTGTGTGTTCATGCTCAAAAAATTCGAAACCAGAAATAATTTTGATGMGAGCTCTAGCATTTCCTTTATCTTGATTATGTTGATATTTCACTGAAGAAAAAGGGAACTTGATTTACTAGAGCTGAGTATGATTACTTCTTACTTGGTATATGCAGGAATTTTTTTTTCCATTATAGACACATTCTGTTCTTCAGTGTTTTAAGAATGTCTTCTAACTTACATCTCAATAATATTATGAGGATAGATTAAATTAAATGCTATATGTTAATTATGTCTTGATCCCTGAAGAAAAAAGTTGGAATGAGATGCTTCAAATTATGATTGTTATTTTTACCTGGCCTTATAAGATTTGATATTGTGGATAGTTGATGCTAGATGTTGTGCAGCTTATGTTTACCATTTATACAACARAAATGTATTTTAAAACTCTGCTCATCTTTTAAGTTATATGAACCCAATTTTATTTATGAGTTCCACATTGAACTAAGTATGCTACCCAATAAAAGAAGAGCATGGCTATTGTCAAGGCCATACTTACATAGCAATAAAAAGACCAATRAGTACACGTGTACTTTTACATATGCTCAGGCTGAAAACTCAAAGTCCTCAAATGTCAATGTTCTAACATTAAAAAAAAATCATTATTTACTTATTCTCTCTCTCTCTYTCTTAAAAAACAAAAAACAACAACCCTACCAGTCCAGAATCCAAATGCTCAAATAGCCCATTTGTTAAACATTTTGTTGCTAAAATATCCACATAATAAGTTGCTACTTTTTTTTTTTTCGGGATTCTGTATTCAGTCTTACTTAGCTATAAGTAGTATTCGTTAAGGCAAATTACAGTTGTTTTCTGGTGAGTCTTTGGCTTATTTTGTTATAATAATACCATATTATGAGCAGTCAAAAATTCTTTTCATATTTTTAAAGAAGAAAATAAAATACTTCCCCAAACAGGCTATGAATTACTGGTAGATTGAAAAAAAAAGAAAAAAAGAAATGTTTCTTGCTCTGTTAAGATGAGATCAATCTTACTGTCTTTGCTCTCTGTTTGCCCCTTGTTCAGCTCGATACCTGGAAGTTCTCAATAACAATAAATGATATGATGGCATGTGTTTCAGTGAATGCATTAGCAGTAATCCTCTTTTTCTTTTTTTTTTAATTCCAGATTCCCAGGAAGGCAATTACAAGTCAGAAGTCAACAGCAAACCCAGGAAGGAAAGGACAGCTTTTACCAAAGAGCAAATCAGAGAACTTGAAGCAGAATTTGCCCATCATAATTATTTGACCAGACTGAGGCGATATGAGATAGCYGTGAATCTAGATCTTACTGAAAGACAGGTAATGCTGGACATTGTCAYCACATGAGCTTTTTAATTGCTTTGGGTCAACAATCTTTTGCCTTTTTTGAAATACTTAGATCTTTGATTCTTAAATGCCAATTTGGAAGACTGGTGTACTATTCCATGATGAAGATTTTGTTCAGAAAAATGACAAAATCAAAGAAAATAAAATGTTATTTTTTTAAAAAAATTATGTAGTTTAGAAAGAATCCTTTATTCTGTTATGATAGCCTTCCTTATTTTTTTATTTAAATATATTAGTTATTTTACATAATGATGGCATATGGTAAGGGATTTTTGTATGCTTATATTTAAAAATCTTCTTATTTGGAATATAAAAGTTAGTAACCCCACGTTAGTTTCCTGTACTGCTTAGGATAGCGCATGCATGTTGCATTGACTTATTAACCCTCGAATCTCAATGTTTTAACTTTAAAATTTTTTTCATTATTTGTTTATTCTTTCTAAAAACTCTACCAGTGCAGTATCCCAAATACTCACTCACTGGCCCAATCTGACTCTCTGGAGTCTCAAYATGTGGTGTCCCTGGTCACCACAGGAGGTAAGGAAGAGTGGAAGTTCATGCACTGACCTCTGAATGTTTTCACCTGGAAGTGACCCATGTCACTTCCATTTACACTCTAACGTTCAAGAATAGTTAAATGATACAGCCTTGGTAGAGAATGGAAGGCCGGGGCACATAGAACATTGGTAATTATTTCTGTCTCATTATTCAAAATATATTTGTAATGGTACTGGTGTCACTAATTCAAAATTCTGGTACCCACTTGAAGAACACTTTTAAATTATTAATGATCTGTGGACTTCAATTAAAAAGGCATAAATAATATTTTTAATTAAATTACTCTTTAGGTTCTTTTTTGGATTTTTGTGTTTTTCTGTTCTTTTTTGTGCTTTTGTTCCTTATTTTTTTGCATCAATGCTCACAGAGTACTTCTTGTACTGATTCTGATTCGTGCTGAAAGAATCTAGCCTACTGTTGGTGAACAGTTACTCATCTTTACAAAAACATTCTTGAAAGGAAATGCAAACATCTTTAGGGACAGTGTGATTATGATTGGCACTCAGGGTTAGAATTTCATTTCCTCTTTCACTGTACATACCTCCTCCAGGGGTCCCACTGGAACCAAGGAAATAGCAATAGGGTGTGGACAAATGAATACATAGTTTATGAGAGCAAGTTATTTTATCCAATTTCTTAAATCATCTTCTTTCTGTGAATTTTCAAATTTCAGCTTTGGTAGGTTATTTCTGGATAGTGGAAATATACAGAGGGACACTTTTATGTGGTTTTATTTATTGGCAGCTTATATTTTATTAAATATTTTGACTGGTACCTAAGTTATGGAACATATTTCCTTCCRTTGAATTTCACATACAAAGTTCCTTCTATAATTGTAGAGCATTTGGCACACTGGAAAGCAGGATCCAAAATCTACATCATCAGACTCTCTTTTATTTCTACTTATTTATTTTTTAACTGGTAACAGGAAAATAAAGGGGAGGCTGGTTTACACATTAATGCCCTTTTGTAAGTCAGTGAACTCCAGGAAGCATAACCATGTTTTATAGAATATAAGAAGGAAATAAGAAACTAGAATTTACTTTCAATTTACAGAAACAACAAATGTGGTATGTGCTGTTAGCCAAGAGCAAAGTCAAGATTTTGTGTTTACTATTCCAAGATGTTTTATGGTTATCTTCCATCATTTGGTCACAGAACAGAAGTTTTGCTTTTGTTTAAGAATAATTTCTTTTTTAGAAGCAGTTCTATAAATCTGGCTTGAGGATTTGAAGGTATTTTGGACAGTTCTTCTTCTTAATTGACTTGACATGTTTGGGAAAGTTATAAGCAAAAATGGTATATGCATACCCAATTTTAATCAGTTTTTTACTTAAAATAATAATTTGTTTTAATATTATGTCAGTTAGCCTTAGTTTTATGACCAACCACCCCAAACATTAGTGGCTTCAAACAATAACCAACATTGAGTTTGCTCAGAATTCTGGAGTGAGAGTTTTGGTTGGACTTGTCAGAATTTCACAGATCTCTCATGGAGCTGCATGCAACTGTCAGTTACTAAAAGCTGTTTGGGCCTCTGTTTGGACTGCTGGTCTCTTTTGCATATGGTTTTGTCTTCAAATACGCTGGCCTGGTATTCTTCAGTGGATAGTAGGAATATCCCTAGGACCACTAAGAATGAAAACTCCAATATGAGGGGCTTTTTCAGTTTCTGTTCATATCATATTTACTAACGTACCATTGTTTAAAGCAAATCATCTCACATTAAGTGTCAATGTAGGAGTCACTAGAAACCATTCCTGAAATAATCTAACAGGCTACCAAGAAACAAAAAGTTGAGAAATAATTAAGTTCCAAAGGATTGAAAATTTGATATTGTGCAGAAGATAATTTTTAATTTCGTAAGTTTGCATTTGCAGTTTTACACATTAATGTGAAAAGATGATTTACACATATGAAATCTAAACTCCTAATCAAGATTAAGTCTTTAGAGGATCAGTGTGGATTGATAAGAAAAAAAACTAAATTTTAATGAAAAATAATCTGAATGAAAATCCAAGATTTGCCACTAGAAACTGTGCATTCTCAGAGAAGTGACAATCTCCTTGAGGCACAGAATTAAAACTAAAATTTCCTGTTCTTTTCTCTACTCAGATTTATATGTCACGATGGATATGAAAAAAAAAATTAACATAAACATGAAAACAGAACTATCACCCAGAGGGGAAATAAGTTTGCTATGCAAGACATGTTGAATTAATTCATTTGTAATACAAATATTTGTTGAGCTGGTGCTAGAAGTAAAATTCAGTCAAAATAAGCTAGAGAAGAAAACACTAGAATGCACAGAAGAGACAACAAATTGAACAAGCAGTAACAATTAGGATGAGTGCTGAATGTCACCAAAGAGGGCTGACTGGAAAAATATTCCTTATTATGTCAAATGTTAGTTTTACTAACATATTATTCCATATTTCTGTGTTCATAAAGTAATTTAAATTAGAATCTTAAAGCTTTATTTTTATTTTCTGGGCTATATATTGCTGTGCTGAGCTTATCTAAAAATATATGGTGTGCTTCAACCATCAATATTGCTGTTTTAAGTATTCTATTTTTAGCAGACAAAAAATAAAAGTTGTACATATTAATGGGGAACCATGTAATATTTGATGCATTTATTTATCATTTATCTATCTATTTATTTATTTATTTATTTATCACTTATTTATAGTGAAAACTTACAAATTTTTCTTCTAGCTTTTTGAAATGTACATTACATAACTGTAGTGTACAGTCACCATACTGTGCAACTACTGAATATAAAGTATCTTGCTTGTATATAATTGTATCTCTAATTTTGCTGTTCTTGAACATTCAAAGGCAAATTCCTCCAAAATGCCAGGTGTTTAACCCAGTGAAATATCTTCTTTTTGTTTTTTGGAGGTTGGGCTTCTAAAGTTATAGTAATTGAATTATAAAATAAATTGTCTTAAATATATCTTCTTTAAATTGGGATACAGCTTGTCTTACTCCATTGGGGCTACTTTAATAAAATGCTATAATATATAATGTATTGCATATAATATTATATTGTATATAATAGTATTATATATTATATCATAATATGATGATTATATCAATAATATTATAAATGTTATAATTGTTATGAATATTCTAATAATTTTATATAATATAATGATATAATTATTATGTAATATAATACTATAATTGTAATGTAATATAATATTATAATTATTATAAACATTGCAATTTTAATTATAGAATTATAATAACATGATTTTATAACAAAATAATTATATAAAGCATAATACTGGCTAACACACATTAGAAATTTTTAAAGCTCTAGAGGGTAGAAAGTCCAAGATTAAGAAAGGCACTTGCAGGTTCAGTGTCTGGTGAGGGACTGCTTCTGCATAGATGGTTCTCTTTTTATTCTAGCTTCACATGGTTCATGGGGCTAGATAGCTATCTGAAGTCTCCTTTATAAGGGTGATAATCCAGTAATAAGTGATCTTCTCTGAAGATCTAATCATCTTCCAAAGACTGTGTTCCTAATGCCATCACCTTGAAAGTTAGGATTTAAACATAGGAATTTTTGTGCAACAAACATCCAGACCATAAAACAGCTATTCCATTATTTTTATTTTGTTCTCATACCATAAATGTTTATCTGTGTAATCCATATCTTGGCCCCATATATTCCTTAAAAACAAGTTCATATGTGATTTCCACATGTAAACTGTTTTGACAATAAATCATTTTGCAAGATTTATTTTTCCACACCTTAAAATAATATGAAATTTAGTAAAGTAAATTAAATATATGCACCAAAAATATTAAATCTAATTTACATTGTTCAGTGTCTCTTAGTGTTGGTAGTATTCTTTAAAATATTTTTCTTGACTGATGGAACTTTCATGTTGAAATGAAGTGACAGAAGTCATATATATATATATATATATATATATATATATATATATATATATATATATTTACACACACACACACACACACACACACATACATACCATGTAAAGGGGAAAAAACAACACATATTAAATCATCTAAATCTATGGAGAATGTTTCAGAGAAATAATTTTCTCCAGTATGAAAACTTACTTTATAACCTGAACTGGTTTTTAAAATACTTTCATGTAAAAGTTTTATGTGATTGCCTATAAAACATGTATTCCTACAAGCTATAAATTATTTGTAGCTACCCCTGATTCATTTATATCATGATCAGTACACCTGCCACACATTTTATGATAGACCACATTTATGTCATTATAAAGATATGCAATAATGATCAGGTTTTCTTTTATAAAAGTCATATACGTTAAAACCTTACATATCATTCAAACTTGAATTTTCCAATTCCCATCTGAAGAACAGTCATAAAATCTCATGAAGGAGTCAAATTCAGATTTGTG